CCCCAAAACCCCAAAACCCCAAAACCCCTTAAACAGAGCAAATAATGCAAATTTATAAAATTAAACTAAGAATAAAATGAGTGAGGAGGTAGTGCCTAAGGTGCCTCAGTGTCAGGTATAATCTTAAAATAATTTTTTCTTACTTTCTCTAGAATCAGGTAAAGATAGATAATAAGGAAGAAGGGAAAGGTATGTTTAAGATTAGCTCATAATCCCAAAAACCACAATTTTCATAAATATCATGTGTATTTATAGCAAGCTCTCAAATATCTGCCTATTCTCCAGTCAGGGAGTTCAGAGTCCCGATATATGAACTTTTCCAGCAAGGAAGGATGAATTTTAACAAGTTAGAGACTTCATCGAGATATAGAATAAAGCATAAAGGGCCTAAGCTGATAAAGAAGAATGGAACAACAGTCAAATTAGCATCTTCTACTTTTCACAAAAGCCAATGCGACCGCAAATAGATCTTACAATAATATTCAGAAATAACTTGTTTGAAGCAGAGAAAGTGTATTATGCTTCAAGAATAGAAAGCATGGTCGGGAGATGGTCCCGAAGAGCATCAGGTATCTCTCTGAATCATCATACTGAAATAGACCACCATCCAACACTAAACCCAATAAGTATGATGAAACATCCAAGTTTTAATCAAACAGGAATAGTGACACCAAAATTAAATGTATTTTCTGGTTTTGCTTACAATTAGTCTGCGATAGAAACTTATTTATTAAGTCCAGGCAAGGATACCTTCGCAGGAATGAAGCCTGTCTTCACAAACAACACTAACCAGCTCAAAAAGGGTGAAAACCAAGTGAGGCCTGATATAACAACCTAGATTGTCCCAACAGAGCATCATCTCAGATTTCCGATATTCCTGAACCAGCTTCCGAAGGATGGTCTCAAAAAGAACATGTCTAAGTACAAAGAGATTCTTAATAAATTTGTCAAGATTGATAAATAAGGTCAATAGAGAGTTTACCAAGACATTGTCCTTACAAGTCAACAGCAAGACGAAATGGTACTAAAAGGAGGCTCAACATTTAGAAAAATACCTAAGCTAATATCCCCTCAGATGTCATGTAGTAATGAAAGAGCACCTCTAAAAGAAAGTAAGCAGAAGAGGTTGACCAATTTTGCCCCAACAAAGACATTGAGACAGAAGCATTTGAGTTTGACAATTCCTAAAAGTTCGGCAAAGTAGGTGTAAACCAAGTAATTCATAGCAAAACCAATAAATTTATGCTTGAAAAAGTGATCAAGAAGTACATAAAGAATTCTTTAAGGCGAGATGAACAGTCTTTGATTCTCTAGCATGTTCGTAATATTAAGATCAGTTCCATATTAATCCAGTATAACTTTTCAATTATTGAATTTATTTCTGGGGTTTTGGGGTTTTGGGGTTTTGGGGTTTTGGGG